ACTTTGTGCTTATGATATTAACCATTATAATTGACTTAGTAAAAAAATAAGTTATGCCTATCGAAAAATGGATAAATTTGATATGCCTTGATGAAAAAAAATCATGTTATGAAATTACAAAACGCCATACTGGGACTTGCATTGTTTGACACAATAGTACTAGTGTTTAGCTATCTCTACAAACAATCACAATATGATTTGAAGCTCCTTGTAATCAATACTGAACCAGAACATTCTACTTTGAGAGTGAATATAAAGTGGTCATTGAGGTAACACTGTTAAGGCTTTCAGATTAATGCTAGTTTGCGTCGTCTATTGGTCACTAATAAACATTTGGACCTTAGGGTGTTTGCTTTTGAGTGCAATATGAAGTACGTGTAGTCTATGCTAGCGCATTATTAACACATATAAGACGACAGTCTTGTGAGAGTGCTCTATGTGTTTGAATCTATTTTCTAAACCTACGCTTCTAAAAAAATATATACGCGTTTTAGATCCGAGAAAATAGTTTTATTTTCAAAACTATATCCTCGGGGATAGTGCAATTACGCATAACTATCATTTGATTATTTATGAGTTTCCATTTCGGTCATTTTGTCGCCAAGTCAAATCCGCGTGTATGCCGTGGCAATCAAATTAGTGTGGTGTACGGGAATCTATTGTTATCAGTCCGTAGACAACATAAATTAATGCTTACTGTGCAAAAATGAAAGCCGTTGCCATTGAAATAACAAAGTAATCCCTCTCCTGTGAAGTTTGGTGTGGTGCAGATATTCGCTTTTTGCCAATACTGCATACGCGGAATGGCACTATCCCCGACGTTATCTGTTCATCTATTTAAAAAATGGTTCCTTCAAGGCTTTGCAATTACGCAACTCGATAGTTCAGAGCGCTCGTTTCGAACTGCTTGCAGTTTACTATCCATTAGGAAGTTACATACGTATGATAGATTTTTTGTAGATACTTTGTAATGGACGGTTGGACTAGTTGTTAAAATTTGAACGCCTCGTATTTAATAATCCAATTTTGTGATTGCTTTTATAAAATATTTGTGTGTCTGCTCCACCATGTATTTACAATTAACTTTACGATGAGTTATGAGGTGCAAGGTATCTTTCAATAGCCCACCGACCTTTAAGTACCCATATTCACTTCTCTTTTGCTTTTTTCAACCGCATCAATGTCTTTAACATGTTAGGGACGATTTTGTGCTAAACATAAATAAATTAAATAACAATTTAAACAACTTCTATTATATTATCTACTAATGCTGAGGTAAATACAATATTCGTGCTAATTCAAAGTAGGAGAACTGCCTTCGTGGCCGAACGGTTACCATGCTGGACTGCCACGTAGAGGTCCCGGGTCCGATTCCCGGGCCGGGAGAAATATTTGTATGGAGGCTATATATGTGGGCGTAACTGTTATTATTACATTTTTATTATTGAAGCATCATCATCATTATTATCATAATTTCAGCCGAAAGATGTTTACTGCCGAACATAGGCCTTCCCCAAAAAACGCCACAAAGACCGGTCTTGTGCTGTTCGCATCCAGCGGATTCCGCCAATCTTCACTAGGCCGACGATCCACCTTGCGGGTGGTCTGACCACGCTGCGTCTTCTAGTACGCGATCGCTACTCGAGAACTCTTTGGCCCCATCGACTATCTGTTCTGCGAGTATATAATTACATCAATTATTGCAATTTGTAATTAAATAAAGATCAAATCTAACGCCATTTTACAAAACGTACCAAGAACAAAAATGATTTCTATAATTAATTAAGCTATGCTTATTAGCTCGTAATTAAAATTTTATACAGCACACGGTTTCTAAGGCTTAAAATAATAATATTATTCAATAGAAACTTTCACTGGAAGTTGTACAACGGGTGTATTTACTTTTCGACTTGTACAAGTTGTAGTCATGTAAGGCTCCTGTTACTTTATGTTCAATACAATCGTAGAAATGAGAAAACTTGAGATAAGAAACTTATTGTTCAAGTATGAGAACAAATAGAGCAGCATATAAGAGTTCATATAAAAGTAGCTACTCGAAGCAATTCACGTTATTTATATAAAGATATATTTGGGTAATTTTTAGATTAGTTTTCTTTATCTAGTTTTGGTGGCAATTTCTGTAATTTAAATATTATTTAATATTTCACGACAATTTACTCGAATACTTAAATAATAAAAACTGAATCCGAAATTAAGTATTTTAGTGCCAATAGAGCTCTTCACCTAACTTCACCTATTTCTGCCACAAACCAGTAATGCTACTGTGTTCCGGTTTTGAAGGCCGCGGGTGCAGGTGAAATTAAAGGCACGTGAGACTTTTCAACTTATGTCTCAGGGTGACTGGAGCAGTGGCAGCGCCCTTTGAGCGGCACTGTAACTGCTATGAACAGGCGTGTCGCGAACTACCAGGAGCACGAATTGTTCGTCCCGTCACTAAGTATCATAAAAAAATATTATTTTTATATTTGTATCTAACTGCCTCCGTAGCTGAACGGTTTCAATGCCAGACTGCCACGCAGAGGTGCCAGGTTTGATTCCCGGGCCGGGAGAAATATTTATATGGCCTACATTTATTTCTCTCGTGAGTTTGGGTGTAATTTGTGGTTGTTTATGTGTGTGCCCAAGGCACCCGCGACACAGGCTTTCCCTAGTGCGGGGCTGTGTTGAGTGTGCGCGGCTGTCTTGAGTGCGCGCGTTATTATTATTATTATCTTTAGTAGTTAAACTAATGATCTGTCGCACTCTAAGCTAGAAGTTATATTATATAGCTTAAGCCAAATATATATGATATTATATATTTACTTACACTTCAAGGCAGGAACACAGTAAAGCTCACATTACCTACCGCTTGGCGGCAGAAATAATTAAGGTGGCAGTAAATCCTTGGACGAATTCTTTCACAGGGAGCTCCACAGCTACTCGTGCATGCTGTTTCCTTTCCCTTTTGTTTTTAATTTTTTTTTTTATCAAATTTGCTCGGAAATGTTTGCATTAATTTCAAAAAACGATCACGGAAAGTTTGTCGTTTATGACCGTGCGATTATTTTGTATTTTCGTAGTAATTAGCGTAGTGAGAAGACCGATAACGAAAATACAGTAACGGACAGTACTCTGTCTTAATGACCGAGAGGCAATTATTAACCATGAAAAACTGTTTGGCGGCTGTGAGCAGAGTAAGTTATATGAAAACTTATGAAATTTTCACGCCTTGGCGAACCACATGACTACACTATCAGAAGTTCAGGGGACTATTTTTAATGTGCCTCGAAAAACATCAAATATTGCTTTTGATAATAATTAATATTTTTTAACGTTTTGTATTATAATTTTCCAATCTTTAGTCTTTTATTATTTCCTCACATTGTTTGAGAAAAGCAGTATATGAATCTCGGCGGGAACTGGTATAGCTTGACTCATATTAATATAAGGTCTCGCTGGCGCTCGGTGTTGTAACTCATACTGGTTCAGCTATCCCTTACTTCCCGGCCTTTGCAATGATGTATTACTGTGTAATGTATTTACGTATTTAATAATTTTCTATTCTTTTTTATAATTTCTAGTATGAAGAGCCAACGTTGTTTTCTGCTTAGTTGATTTTGTCATCAGTACTTTGTTACATCCAACATTTTTAAAACAGCCGGGAAATAAAAAGAGTTTCCATTTTTTGCCGCTAGGGTTTATAAAAAATGATGAAAGATTCACGTGTCTACTGAATGTATTCTACCTAAATTGTTTTGTCCTATTTCTACAAAAACCAAGACCCTTATCGCCCTCGATCGTCCCACAATACAAGCCCACATAATTTATACAGAGACGGGAGTTCATCTGTTTAGTGAGAGATATTAATCATATACAATTTCAGGGCGGACCCAACAAACAATGAAAGTACGGTGTGGTTAGGCTTTATACTATACATATATAGAGTGGTTTTTTTTAATGGTACACTATGAGGAAATCCGAAACCATTGAAGATACAGAAAAACTATCTTAGGAAGCATTAATTATTAATTTGGTCTAAGACAGTTTGTTTGTATCTTCAATGTTTTCGGATTTACCCATAATGTTCCACTTAAAACACTCTCGTGGTATATATAACATTTCTAGATCAGTCTCTTGTGTGATGTATGTACGACTAACATTTAATTTGAAACTAGATATGGTTTATTTGCTTTTCAAATATTTCGTTGATTTTACCAATTATTGGACAAGAGTCACTCCATTCGTTTACTGTGTAATTTCTACAATAGGTCAATATACGAATTGGTTCGAAACATTTCGAGCAAATATTCGACTTAAATACGTGAGTTATGCGTTTGTTTTTAGTTAATAGGTCAATATAATTTACGCCGAAGTAATTTTAATTTTCCATTTTTTTTTTCATAAGATTCACCAAATAAGGACGATTAATCGGTGTAGTTGATTATGACTTATTCAGTCTGAACTGAACATCACTAATTTGCACTTGGTTAAGTTTTTTATACAATCTATAAAATAAAGACTATTCAACAGGTGAATAGGATTATATCTCGTCCTGTTTATCTAAACTGAATGTTCAGAAATCATATTACGAAACATCACTAATTGCACTCGAATGAAGCTTGCATTAGGTTAGTCAAGGGATAATTAAAGCGTATCTGTACGAGATCCACGAAGTACCACTGATTCGTTGAGTGAGCCGACTCTCGACAAACGAAGGATTAGACCCTTAATTTATTGCAGTACGCCCGGTAGCGACGGAAACGAGAATTCCATTGTTAGAAACTCAGTGTCGTAACAAATTTAAACTTTTGCACAGTGCATGCAAATCTCGAGCTTGACGATTTTACTTTGTACTTTAAAAATAAAGGCATTGTAATTTAAAACACGTAAATTTCAAATATTTTTTATCTCACTAAAACTTTATAACGTAAAAGACACAAAATTGTATTTAGGTAATATTTCTTAAACAATTAATAAAATTAATATGACTGTCATCACTAAGCAACCAAAATGTGATTGAAAAGTTGGAGTAGATTTACCAAAAATAGTAAAAACTGATGTTGTTATATGTTACATGTAATGCTATAGTCTTCTTTAATTATATCGCTTCCTCTTTCAGCAATCATAATGACCGGACCGTTAGTATTACCGCTAGTTATGTTTGGCATTACACTGGCGTCTATTACTCTTAAATTTTCTACGCCATGTACCCTAAGTCGGCTGTCAACTACAGACGTGTTAGGATTTGGTCCCATTCTGGCAGTGCCAACAGGATGGTAAGTGGTAGTTACCATGTCTACACAAATGCATTTCCAATAATCTAAGCTGTCCAGTTCATAGTTGTCGCATTCAGGCCATCGCATTCTTCCCAGATATCCACCAATAGATTTAAAGTATTCAGTGTTTACTAATTTAGTTATCTTCTTTATTCCGCGAACTGCCGCTTCCAAGTCCAATGGGTCATTAAAATAATTTGCATTAATTAATGGGTGTTCTTTTGGGTCAGATGATTTTAAAAAAATATCTCCTCTTGACTTTGGATGCAAGATACTGAACAGAAAGTAATACAAAGAATGATTTTGAGCATTTTCAAGCACGGACTCTGTCACAACACGTTTGTATCTTGCAACTGCATTTAAAAATATTGGCACATTTGATGAGTTCTTTGAAAATATAAAAACGTGACTTTGAAACAATGGATAGCTGGCATTATTTTCCAAGGAATAAAACGCTAACGCATCTGTTAAAATACTTTCGCCCAAATAACCCTTTCTTTCGTAAAGGTATTGTATAGTTTCGAAATATTGTTTTATTGTATCAGTTTCACCTGGTTGGTCTCCATAAATTGTAACAGGTACTAAAAGGTGATCTTGCAAATGTTTTCCAACACTAGGTAAATTTACTTTACACCGAATGTCTTTTGAATTTAAATGTTCCTCCGGCCCCATTCCGGACAGCATTAATAACTGGGGTGTATTTATTGTCCCAGCACTAACAATTACTTCAATGTTAGCCAAAAATGTCATTGTATTCCCATTTCGGTCTACTTCTACACCATACGCCTTTTTTGTCTTACCATTCGATAGCAAGATTTTAGTAACAAAACTATTCTTTAATACGTGAAGGTTAGGTCTATTGCGTGCAGTATTGAGATATGCTGAAGCAGCACTAACACGCTGACCATTTGAAACGGTTACTGTCATTATGCCTGAGCCTAAAACATTTGCCGTATTTAAATCTGGAACTTTTCTAATACCAATTTCATCCCAAGAACCAACGATATTTTCAGTGATAGTCCTAATTGTACTGTTGAAGATATCTATATTTAATGGTCCATGCCGTCCATAGTTTTCTGCAATTCTTGTATCTCTTAATAAGTCCTGAGCTTGTAGTTTCTCGGCTTTCTTAAAATATCGACGTACAATATTTGGGTGCCATTCTTTATTTCCTTGATCGTACCATAATTTGTAATCATAGTCATTTCCATGGACGTACAACATACCATTCATTCCGCTACTGCCTCCGAGCATTTTCCCTCTTGGCCAGTAAGTAGTTTCATTAACACTTGCTTTGCTTGTTCGATTATTCTTGACAGTATAATATTGCCAGTCATATTTTGTATCCAACATACCGACGACCAATGCAGGTATCTGTTACGAAAATTAACAAATTGACATGGACATAGATATACTTTAATTTGCACAATGCAACAATACAAAACCACACAAAAACAGTTTACACACAAATCATTATTTGACACATAATTACAATTAAAATTAAAGTAATTGTGCAGTTTATTAGTCAAAACGTGAACAGATAAAATATTAAATCGTTTAACTCCGTCTTAAATTTTTTAGTAGTCATGTAATTTTTATAATTTTTTACAAAAACCTATAATTTACTTACAATACTTTCAACTGGTGGATCATCTCCTGCTTCTATGAGAAGTATCTTCCAGTTTTCTATTTCACTGAGACGATTAGCTAGTACACATCCGGCCGAACCTGCCCCCACTATTATAAAATCAAACATTGCATAGTCTGTAAAGAAAAATTATCTGTAGCATTTAGATACAATTACCAAAAATATAATTGATAACAATCATTGCTTAATTTACTCACTTGGGATCTCTGCGTCTGGAGGCCAGTTTTCTGTAATGAGACATTGTGCACTAGCGAAAAATTGTAGAGTATTTGCAAAAATTTGAGAAGCCGTACCGGTTGTGGGTGATAGACATACCCCGTCCATTTTAGTAAAATAAAATTGCTTATAATTTATTTGTAAACGTGTCACTTGTCGCGTTGGTTTCAGAAGAAATATGAACAAATTTTAATATATAAAAATATTCTTTATGCATGAGGGTTTTATTTATTTTATTAATTACCAAAACAATTATTGCAAAATAAAATTTACAAAACATTTGTGTAAACAAACTTTTGTTTTGCGCAAATTTTTGTCTTTTTGGTGTAAGAAAATAAACATTTGCATGGAACAAACACATGATACCTTGTGATGACAGTGCTTTGACCTTAGAATAATAACGCATACAATGATAGTTTCATATCAAATGAACTGTCCAAGTGAGGCAAAAATCAAATGTAGGCGTAAGCAACTTGTATCTACGCTCATCGGCACGCACACAAATCTACAAATAATGATGCCATGGAATAACATTTCCCTCAAAAGTGGGGAAATTGTATCTTGCTTAACTCATCATTAAGTTAAAGGTGCTTACAGATTTGCCCGACATTTTTGATCAGGTGCCTACAGATTTGCTCGATTTTGTCGATCGACAATGTCGATCAGGTGCCTACAGATATGCTCGGTTTTGTCGATCGACAATGTCAAGTGACAAGAATTTTCAAAAATTTATTTTTGGTAATCCGTATGGAAATGGCATTTATATCTGAATACACGATGACGGACACGATTTTTCAAATAAATGCAATATGGGAATCATTTTCGAGGTATTCGAGGTGTTCATTACGAATATGGTACTCATTTCTAAATCCAAGATGGCGGGCACGATTTTTCGAATAATGGCAAGTTGGGTATCGTTTTCAAGGTATTTGGGGGTGCTCCTTGCGAATGTAGCATTTATTTCTAAATCCAAGATGGCGGACACGAGTTTTCAAATAAATGCAAATGGGTATCATTTTCGAGGTATTTGAGGATGCTCATTAGAAATATGGCACTCATTTCTAAATCCAAGATGGCGGGCACGATTTTTCAAAAAAATGGTATATGGGTATCATTTTCGAGGTATTTGGTGATGCTCAATGTGAATGCACTATTTGGAAATCCAAGATGGCGGGCACGATTTTTCGAATAATGGCAAGTTGGGTATCGTTTTCGAGGTATTTGGGGGTGCTCATTACGAATATTGATTTTGTTTGAACTGTCGTGTCTGCCATCTTGGATTTAGAAATGAGTGCCATATTCGTATTGAACATCCCCAAATATCTCGAAAACGATACCCAACTTGCAATTATTCGAAAACTCGTGCCCGCCGTCTTGGAATTAGAAATGAGTGCCATATTCGTATTGAGCATCCCCAAATACCTCGAAAAGGATACCCATATTGCATTATTTTGAAAAATCGTGTCCGCCATCTTGGATTTACAAATAAGTGCTATATTCGTAATGAGCATCCCCAAATACCTCGTAAACGATACCCAGAATCAAAATCAAATCAAAATAATCTTTATTTGATAGGTAAGCATTATTACACTTGAAATCGCCACATTGTTTAAACTGGTTTGCTGTTAATAACCTGCTACTTAATGAGAAAAAAACAAATTGTGTTAAATTTACATTGCCCAA